GTTACTTTAAAATGCCATTGGCATAGAAACTAAAATATAAAAAAATGACTTGCCGCCATAAATCCTTATTTAATCACAATATGTTTTAAAAATTCTCTAGGCCTTAGTAAAGATAGTCAATTAACTCAAAATATTTTTCCTGCATTGAGTACGTCTGTAAACACGTTACCAAATAAAAGCCTAATAAAAGGCTCAGAGATTATCTAGTGATTGATAAACTAACGCGTATTTTTGGAAGAACTCTACATACTCGTTACACTAAAGAATACTTTTTTAATCGTGTAGCGGAATTGTATTGTACTTTTAAAGTTTTTTGTTGTAAATTATGATTTCATTTAATAATTATTATTCTAAGATTAAATTATCGTAGCTGTATTTGTGACCCTAGTTGATACTATACAAGGTTATAAGCAAAGGCAAATTTAATTCCACCCGGTGTCTTTCCTGGAATAACTTAACAAGGTTCAAATTAATTGTCGCAGATTCTACTTGATACGTCATTACAGCTTACAACTTTCTGTGTAGTTCGTAAAACATATTACAACGCTGAGCACAGTTAATGGGCAAAATCCGTAGAAGTGTGCTGTAGTAACTTACATGGATTAGGTTATAACAGTAATATTGAAACAAATCGTCAAAGCAGCTTAATATACGTTCTGGCTGATATCTACGATTCAGTAGATATCCTGATATCTACTGAATGTAGTAACACTGAATATGCCAGGGTACTCTCTTCATTTTTTTTCCAAATAGTGATAGGTAGGTAATGTTGTCAACAATGTGTTTACGATATCGTTGAGGAAGCACTGCTGTAATGTCCTGATATCGATGTAGCCATTACACAATGGACTGTCATGTATGACAATGTACAACTCATGTTATGACAGTTACTCTGTAATGCGACGTGGTAGACCGATCGTTCATGTAAGTTATAGTAATGTATAGTAAAAATTTACAACAATATACTTACGACGGGTGAGATCATTGTAGGAGCACTGCAGTAATGTCCTGATATCGATATAGCCATTATACACAATGTACTGTCATGTATGACAATGTACAACTCGTGTTATGACAGTTACTCTGTAATGCGACGTGGTAGACCGATCGTTCATGTAAGTTATAGAAATGTAGAGTAAATATTTACAACAATATACTCACGACGGGTGAGATCATTGTAGGAGCACTGCAGTAATGTCCTGATATCGATCTAGCCATTACACAATGTACTGTCATGTATGACAATGTACGACTAATGTTATGACAGTTACTCTGTAATGCGACGTGGTAGACCGATCGTTCATGTAAGTTATAGAAATGTAGAGTAAATATTTACAACAATATACTCACGACGGGTGAGATCATTGTAGGAGCACTACAGTAATGTCCTGATATCGATGTAGCCATTACACAATGTACTGTCATGTATGACAATGTACACCTCATGTTATGACAGTTACTCTGTATTGCGACGTGGTAGACCGATCGTTGATGTAAGTTATAGCAATGTAGAGTAAATATTTACAACAATATACTCACGACGGGTGAGATCATTGTAGGAGCACTACAGTAATGTCCTGATATCGATGTAGCCATTACACAATATACTGTCATGTATGACAATGTACAACTCATGTTATGACAGTTACTCTGTATTGCAACGTGGTAGACCGATCGTTGATGTAAGTTATAGCAATGTAGAGTAAATATTTACAACAATATACTCACGACGGGTGAGATCATTGTAGGAGCACTACAGTAATGTCCTGATATCGATATACCCATTTTATATCGCAGTTACTTTGTAATGCGAAAACCGTTCATCGAGATCATTCTAGATTCACTGCAGTAACATTGTACATTACGTATCGTTTATAGTATGCACACTTAATATTTACAATGTACTTACGCCGACTGAGAATCGTTGTATCATTGTGCAGCTCTGCAGTCATTTTACTGATGGCAGTAACAGTGTAACGTGACATGGCAGGCTCATCTTTGACACATGTAATTTCACACTTGTAAAGCCTCTATCTAGCGATAAATCCGTCTTGTCATCTGTCATCCCGTCTCCAGCGAGTGTCCGAATGTTTTACGAGTGTGAGCTTTTGATTGCTGCCCACTTTGGGTACATCACCATTCTGAAAACTTGTATAGTCACTATAATAAAAACGTTCCACTCTTTTTGGATTAAACTTATGATTGCAAAATACTTCGCGCTTATGTGTAAGCAACCTTTTTTGAGAAAATTTGGATATCACCACATTACCGCTCACGTTAGTCAAAAGTAAATGTATTCTCTTTTATAGAGTTCATATTGGTTATTGCTTGTTTTGTTATAAAAATTAATGTCACGAAGATAATGTCCTTAAGAATATTGTTTATATGTCTACCCATTGTGAACTTAAGGACGTTAATAGAAAAACGCACTTACTTGCTACAGGTTTTGTGATTAATCGGACAATCTAAAAACCACCATGTTGTTCAATGAGTGTTAATACATTTGCCACATAGTATGAGAGCTGCGAAATCATTACAATAGCCATTGCAAAATTGGCCAAGCGCCAGTCGGCTCTCCAACAGATAAGTTGTTTTCACAATAGACTCTTTTCCTGACCCTCTTCGCGGATATTTTTTGCAAAAAATTATACTCCTTTACTTTCGTGATAGTTTATCTATCTATATATATAAAAGGCAAAGCCCTCACTGACTGACTCACTCACTCACTCACTCATCACTAATTCTCCCACTTCCCATTTACCTAGGAGGCTGAAATTTGGTACAATGATTCTTTAGGCATTAAATAGGAAAACTAAGTTGTTTTTATTCTGATCGGACTCTCGGGCTCCGCCCCAGTGGCTTTGGAGTTTACCATGTTAACCTTATGAATACTCATATTTAAAAGGAATTAATGAATATTAACAGCTGTTTCAATTAAACAAGTTGGTTCTGTTCTATGATGTTCAATAGCATTAAAGTTACAAGGATTACCAACAGGGTGCAGCACTATTATTTTTTTTTTATTTATGACACCAGCTAATTTGCAACCAAAAGGTGAGTGAGCGTAGCGAACGAACTTCAACCTGGAGGCGAGTTAGCGTAGCGAATGAGCTAACCTGAAGGCAAGTGAGCGCAGCGAACGAGCTCCAACCTAAAGATGAGTGAGCGTAGCGAACGAACTTCAACCAGGACGTGATTGAGCCATGCAAACGAGCTCACTTATGAAGTAAAACGGGGCAAAGCCCGCGGGTACAGCTAGTACATGATAGTTGTACAAATTGAATGTATAGTACAATAATGTTTATGAGACTGATTAGTTTGTTCACCTACAGTGCCACTTATAACGCCCCAGAGAGGTGTTTCATAGTTGATATTCAAGAGGTGTTCTTCATCACGTGACTTCGCTTTCCCCTATCCCGAACATCTTTCATCTCCTCGTCATTTCCTTACCCTTTGAGGCTCGGGTCAAGGGTGATAATTTTAACACTTTATGTTTGTAAATAGATATAATATATTTGTTAATGTAAAAAAAAAATCTTTACTTTGACTATAACGAGAGAAAACATCATAAAACATGTTAAATATTTTAACGTTGCATCGCTTTGGAGTGAGAAAACAGGTTCGTTTCGTCTACTGTAGAAAATGTTACAGTTCGCCAATAATTATAAAAAAATTAAATCGTAAAAATAGTGTTACATAACACTTTTTTTTCAATCGGGTGTTTGGCGAGATAAAGTTAAAACATTTTATGAAAAGGGAATAAAAGGAATGTAAATTGTGCAAATGTGAATACTGTGGATTTTTATTTTGCTGATTTGGGGATAAATTAATATTTTCTGCTATAAAAGTGCGTAGCTCGAGAGAATTTTGAGGATGTGCAAAGGCACACCTTCATGTTATGTTGAGACTATACATCTTTGTGTGCTTAGTCGTTTCAGTATTTTTTCCCCTTTTATGTAGAACAATCACACAGACAGATACTCCTTTTGTTCAGAACATAAAAGATAAAGATACATTATTCTGAAGAGTCATTCCATACCCTTTAAGGTCCGGATAATATAATTAAAATTATTTGATTGTAACGAGAGAAATCATCACACAACTTGTTTAAGATACAAATACATAAAACTAAATATGTTATCGGTGCTTTGGTGTGAGTGGTGAAATTTATTACATCTACTGTAGAAAAGTAATGCATTCTTACCAATAATTGCCATACAATCCAGCTGTAAAATAATTTCACAAAACACTTTTTTTTAAATCCAACATTCGATAAAAGGAAAACAATGGAATTGTTAAGTAAACTGTGCAAATCTGAATACCATGGATTTTTCTTTTTGCTGTCTTGTATATCAATCAATATTTACTCCTAAAGAGACACACTTGGATGTAAGGGGCATGCTTCGAAATAATTTTGAGAATTTACAAAGGTCTTTTTCGTTGTCCAGGCTCATAATACACTTTAGTGGAAAAAATAGTTCAGTATTTTTTTCTTCTTTTATTACTGAGCAAACACACAGACAAATTACACCTTTTGTTCATAACATACTAGATACACTGTTAGTATACAAATTAACTCCTTCAGTTCCGTCTAAGTACTCAAGTTCTTCATATAACTCTTTACTGCAACCATTATTACTGCTAATGCAGTCAAAGTAAGTAAGAAAACTGACACTGTTATTTAGCAAATACCTAACCGAGTGGTTGGAAGCTTCAACAATGTATTATCTCACCACCGTGTATCCTGTTAACGTTGTTGTTGTTGACGCTAGCAACTCACCATGTCAGGTATCACACTCGCTGTCAAAAGCATGTTGCTGAGTGTGAGATGGCCTAATGTCATTATTGTCTAAGGTGTCCTCGCTAACACAAGCAGACTTGCAGCTTTGTTTTGTCTTGACATTCACCGTGTAATATATTGATAGTAATTGTATTGCATTGTTAGTTGTATTGAAAACTCAACCTGATTACTGTGTATTATATTCGTAATTTTTTTTCAGATTTCCAAAAACTCGAAAGAGAAGCTCGTATATGTAGAAAACTTCAACATCCCAATATTGGTAAGTTTTTTCGTAAATTTTTAGTTAATATAGATTTAGAGTACAGTGAAATAAGTTTTAAATATATTTTCAGATGTATTAACCGTGTTATTGATTATTTTTTTTAACGATTAAAAGTATTGGCTTTTCACGTTGTAAATACATCCCTACTATATGCAGGTTTTAAAAACTATATACTTTATTTTATCTATTGCTCATTGGCTCTTACATTACATATTTTTATCCATTTTATTCAGTAATAGTGTCAACAAAATGCTCACAATAATATACTTTGATATTCTAGAAACAGTGAGAGAGAATTTATTTTATCATTAATTTATTCCGCATATTAATTTATTCCTTGTAATTACGACGATTTATCAGACTCTACAGTATGTTTTTGATTGCTAAAAATTTATAAATAACGAATGCCTTTCAGTATGAATAGCTTACAAATATCCTTTTCGTATAGTTTCAATTATTAATTTCTCGTATTTTTGTGGACTTAATCAATGCCAAGGACGTTTTCTTTTTAATTCGTAACTATCTATTTAAAAAAAATTAAAGGCCTCAACGCCGAGATCCTATTATTTTAGGCCTTCCACTTTTTATCCATTACAACACTTCAATTCACATAGGCAATTCACATTGCCTACAACAAGCTATACACGACGTATTATTTTAAACGCATACCTATGTACCTATATTACTCCAAAGACACATAATGGCGTATAGTACTTCTATAAATTCCACGGTGTTTCCTACATTATATCTAGTAATTCTTGTTGGAAAGGCATTCTAGTCGGAAGTTCACAATAGAAGAGATTTAAACAAATTTGATTTTTCAAATATTATCATTTTATAGGTAGTATAATTTTCAACCTTTTTGTTTTTAAGTGTGTCAAGAATATATCGTCTTTGTTATTTATAAGTGATAACCTCTTACTTTGTTGTGAAACAAATTTTTTTCTTGAAAACTATTCCACAAAAATATAACAGTTTCCTATTTGTAGTGACAATAAAAAAAATGGGATTTTGTATTTCTAAAACAAAACCAAACGAAGCCATTTCTTCAAAAAATTGTTTCTATGAAACTAAGTAATCCATAGGTTGTTTTTTATTAATGTCATTATATAAATGCGTTCTTCACGTTTCCTGTCAGGTTAAATTCGCTGGGTTAACGAATAATTTATAAAACGCGTAGGTTTTGCATGATTCTGTTAATACCGGGATATAGCATTGAGACCCCCTAATATGGCCAGTTATACTTCTGACTAAACTCAGTCAACTTCAACCATATTTGGTTAAAACCGTATCGTAAAAACTAACCGTTTTCCAATAATACGTAGTGTAACTTGCTTAACACCTATTTGATATAAAAGTGCTTTACAATAAAACTTTCACTTTACCTTTGTTGAATTTATCAGCTTTCGCATAAGAGGGTAGAAATACTTTAACAATTACAGTAGTCGGGGAAGTTTCGAAACCGTCATAATAAAGCTGTAAGCTCCGGAACTTTCTGGATGAAGTAGTTCGTGCAGAAATTCTTTCATTGAATTCTTGATATTATTTTCTCTTATAACTTTCATAACTCCAAAGTAATCTTTAATGATCGACATTTTAACAACCAATTGCAAAATTATTTCAACTTATTGTTACAAATTATCTTTAATATTAACGTTCCGGTTGACAGAAGATTTTGAAATAAAATTAAGGAATGTTTAAATAAAGAATTAGTGGTTTGTATTTTTGCAAACCTAGTGTTTTAAATTGCTGATTGAGTTAAATTGATGTGCAAACAAATTATCCACCTCACAGCCACGTATTGATACTTTATTACTGACAAATAATTTTTATTGAACTAGAGTTTGTAAATTATTTTATTCATAAATTATTCCGTTTTCGCTGTTGGATAATGGGACCTTAAATGTCTCACCCTTTCATAATAATTGTTACGATGATATCGCGCCCGCTGTTCTACAATTGTCTCAACTATGTACACATAACGTTACTTAGTTGCTATTCATGGTTGTCAACGTCTCTAAATGGATACAATCTGTTACGTGCATCTCTCGCCCTCTGTCTTACAATTGTCTCAACCATGTACACATAACGTAACTTAGTTGCTATTCATGGCTGTCAACACGTCTCTAAATGGATACATTCTGTTACGTGCATCTCTCACCCGCTGTCTTACAATTGTCTCAACCATGTACACATAACGTAACTTAGTTGCTATTCATGGCTGTCAACGTCTCTAAATGGATACAATCTGTTACGTGCATCTCTCGCCCTCTGTCTTACAATTGTCTCTACCATGTGCACGTAACGTAACTTAGTTGCTATTCATAGCGTTCAACGTCTCTAAATGGATACATTTAGTTACGTGCATCTCTTGCCCTCTGTCTTACAATTGTCTCTACCATGTGCACATAATGTAACTTAGTTGCTATTCACGGCTGTCAACGTCTCTAAATGGATACATTCTGTTACGAGAATATCTCGCCCTCTGTCTTACAATTGTCTCAACCATGTACACATAACGTAACTTAGTTGCTATTCACGGCTGTCAACGTCTCTAAATGGATACATTCTGTTACGTGAATCTCTCGCCCTCTGTCTTACAATTGTCTCAACCATGTACACATAACGTTACTTAGTTGCTATTCATGGCTGCCAACGTCTCTAAATGGATACATTCTGTTACGTGCATCTCTCGCTCTCTGTCTTACAATTGTCCCAAACATGTGCACATACTGTAACTTAGTTGCTATTCATGGCTGTCAACGTCTCTAAATGGATACATTCTGTTACATGCATCTCTCGCCTTCTGTCTCACAATTGTCTCAACCATGTACACATAACGTAACTTAGTTGCTATTCATGGCTGTCAACGTCTCTAAATGGATACAATATGTTACGTGCATCTCTCGCCCTCTGTCTTACAATAGTCTCAACCGTGTACACATAACGTAACTTAGTTGCTATTCATGGCTGTCAACGTCTCTAAATGGATACAATATGTTGCATGCATCTCTCGCCCTCTGTCTTACAATTGTCTCAACCATGTACACATAACGTAACTTAGTTGCTATTCATGGCTGTCAACGTCTCTAAATGGATACAATATGTTGCATGCATCTCTCGCCCTCTGTCTTACAATTGTCTCAACCATGTACACATAACGTAACTTAGTTGCTATTCATGGCTGTCAACGTCTCTAAATGGATACATGCTGTTACGTGCATCTCTCGCCCGCTGTCTTACAATTGTCTCAACCATGTACACATAACGTAACTTAGTTGCTATTTATGGCTGTCAACGTCTCTAAATGGATACAATCTGTTACGTGCATCTCTCGCCCTCTGTCTTAGAGTTGTCTCAACCATGTACATATAACGTAACTTAGTTGCTATTCATGGCTGTCAACGTCTCTAAATGGATACATTTAGTTACGTGCATCTCTTGCCCTCTGTCTTAGAGTTGTCTCAACCATGTACATATAACGTAACTTAGTTGCTATTCATGGCTGTCAACGTCTCTAAATGGATACATTTAGTTACGTGCATCTCTTGCCCTCTGTCTTACAATTGTCTCAACCATGTACACATAACGTAACTTAGTTGCTATTCATGGCTGTCAACGTCTCTAAATGGATACATGCTGTTACGTGCATCTCTCGCCCGCTGTCTTACAATTGTCTCAACCATGTACACATAACGTAACTTAGTTGCTATTTATGGCTGTCAACGTCTCTAAATGGATACAATCTGTTACGTGCATCTCTCGCCCTCTGTCTTAGAGTTGTCTCAACCATGTACATATAACGTAACTTAGTTTCTATTCATGGCTGTCAACGTCTCTAAATGGATACATTTAGTTACGTGCATCTCTTGCCCTCTGTCTTACAATTGTCTCTACCATGTGCACATAATGTAACTTAGTCACTATTCATAGCTGTCAACGTCTCTAAATGGATACATTCTCTTACATGCATCTCTCACCTTCTGTCTAACAATTGTCTCGACCATTTACACATAACGTAACTTAGTTGCTATTCATAGCGTTCAACGTCTCTAAATGGATACATTTAGTTACGTGCATCTCTTGCCCTCTGTCTTACAATTGTCTCTACCATGTACACGTAACGTAACTAAGTTGCTATTCATAGCGTTCAACGTCTCTAAATGGATACATTTAGTTACGTGCATCTCTTGCCCTCTGTCTTACAATTGTCTCTACCATGTACACGTAACGTAACTTAGTTGCTATTCATAGCGTTCAACGTCTCTAAATGGATACATTTAGTTACGTGCATCTCTTGCCCTCTGTCTTAAAATTGCCTCTACCATGTACACGTAACGTAACTTAGTTGCTATTCATAGCGTTCAACGTCTCTAAATGGATACATTTAGTTACGTGCATCTCTTGCCATCTGTCTTACAATTGTCTCTACCATGTGCACATAATGTAACTTAGTCACTATTCATAGCTGTCAACGTCTCTAAATGGATACATTCTGTTACATGCATCTCTCACCGTCTGTCTAACAATTGTCTCAACCATTTACACATAACGTAACTTAGTTGACATTCACGGCTGTCAACGTCTCTAAATGGATACAATATGTTACGTGCATCTCTCGCCCTCTGTTTTACAATCGTCTCAACCATGTACACATAACGTAACTTAGTTACTATTCTTGGCTGTCAACGTCTCTAAATGGATACATTCTGTTACGTGCATCTGTCGCCCTCTGTCTTACAATTGTCTCAACCATGTACACATAACGTAACTTAGTTGCTATTCATGGCTGCCAACGTCTCTAAATGGATACATTTAGTTACGTGCATCTCTCGCCCTCTGTCTTACAATTGTCTCTACCATGTGCACATAATGTAACTTAGTCACTATTCATAGCTGTCAACGTCTCTAAATGGATACCTCCGTTACATGCATCTCTCGCCCGCTGTCTTATAATTGTCTCAACCATGTACACATAACGTAACTTAGTTTATATT